CTTTACGAATTGATATACTTCGAGAGATGCGCGCACATTTTCGAACATGTCACTCTATCGTAGCACCTGTTTGCCACTGCGTGCACAATTTAACACGAGAGCACTAAGCAAGGCAGACTCTCCCTGACTAACGAAGCAATTACGCACCGGCTCTTAGGTCTTCTTGCTCCTGTCCATATACGTAATCCTTCTCTTCGCTGTACCACATCGCCACAGCCTCGCTACCTGCATAGAAAATACATTGACATTAATCAAATAAGTATTAGTATAAGTATAAGTATTAGTAATAGCATTTACGTGATAATAATATGACGACGTTCGGGACACTGGACCTTAATTGTCCGTACATATATCTTGATATTGAAAACAACTATTAATGTAAATAATTATGTATCACACCATAAGCAGAAGTTGCGGAACAAAACTGACGTAAGTTATATTATGGATCTTATTTTAAATCCAAATTATCTCAATATATTAAATCTAATTATATCAAATAAATCTCTAGTGACTCAGTGCATATACATGTGCATATCTTGGTTTTGGATGCCTCAATCGCTATCATTGGCAAACTGTTTATTATCAATATCTACTCGGCTGCCTACGATGTCACCAACAGGCGAAGGTCAGACTAACATATATTGCCACAGATATTTCTCAATAGCCCAAATTCCACTGATAAATATATTATTATTAGATAAAGAGTTCTTCCCGATGTTAAATGCGTATATCCATAAACATACAACGTTCTGTGACTGGTAAAGAGAATTATGACGTATCCTTGTGGCACGTGATTCTGTATCTATAGATCCGTAGACAGTTTCATATGTGCAAATAATAATAATATAATAATAAAATAAGTGAAATTGAAAAAAATGTTTTAAGAGACTTAAAAAGTAATCTACGTTTTAGAAGCTTAACAATTTATGTAGTATAGGTACATAATACTCATTCTCATGATATTATCAATATTGTTTGCAATATGCATCCGATTACATTGATTGCTGTAGCATTGATCCGATTGCTTATTGTAATGGTCATCCGAATTCGTGATTTATAAAGGTAAACATAGTATTTGCATACCGTACATTTAATATACGCGTTTATAATGTGTATTTCGGGTTTGCTTAAAGTAAAATTTGTGTATCTAATGCGATATGACAGCTAGCTAATTGTATCATCCCTTCTCAATTCGTTTGAAAAACCACATTCGCAATAACTCTTCGATCGTCACCTGAGATGTCAAAGTTTTGCGCGCTCGACCACTTGCTGGCGATATTCTCTCCGTAGTCGTTGTCCGGACGATGCATGTACTGGCCAGTCTTGACCAACTTGTCGGCCCACTCCTGCGCAAACTTGTTGAGGTCTTTCGACAGCTTCAACGATGGCACTCCGTGCTTCGCTCGCAGCTTGTTGTGCTCGGCGAGACACTCCTGTTGAAACTTTGTGAAGCCCATGACGATGCCAGATCTTCTATTGAACACCTATACTGCCACCACAAAAAAGTCGCACTGATCCAGGACTATTACTCCCCCTAACATTTAAACAGTTCGTGTGAGTAAACACACCGGGTTGCCGCCCACGCAGCGTTGTGTGTGTGTGCATTGTAAAATTCCGATCCACGACCCCGTTAATGCATGTTCCGCCATATCACACCTTTGGACTCGACGTATTTACATATCTGCGGCGGTCCCAAAAGATATACACCTTACGAATTTACAGGACTACGGCGAATAGTCCATGACTACGCTAGCATGTTGCCTAGATTCACGATAATAGATAACGGAATGTATTTTGCTGGAATCGAGTCTTCTTGGATGTCCTACGAATAAATGCACAAGCCATGGTTGCTATAAAATGCATGCCATAGCAGGGTTTAAAAGTTTTAATTTGATAGATTACCGATGTAGCCTATATCAACGATGTGCAAATATATAAGAATGAATGCGATTCCTCTTAGCCCAGCAAATATCACGAAATATGCTTGTGTTATCACACTGTGTCAATGTTTGCGTTGCTTTTACGTGTATTACGTGGTATTTATAATATTTACATCTTATGCCAAAGCAAGCGTCCGTGCGGAGAATCGCGCGGTGCTACCTTTATAAGATTAGTTTAAACACAAGATTAGTCTTTCTATATTTGTCTGACACAATAATATCTTATGATACTTGAGCAACAATAATGAATGTATGCGTACCGTTGTTACTTCAAACGTACAATGAAACCATTTGATGGTGAGCGAAAACTCGGGTAGAGTATAGCCACGATGTTAGCGAGCATAGCAGCTAGGCGACTGTAGCTCCGAATATTACCACTAGATGTCGCCTAAATCATTACAAGAAACGTGTAATCGGCGGTCACGCAGATAGACCAGCAGTGTAGGCAAGTGTGTATATATATCAGGAGTAGATAATAGGGAATATATTTTTATCGAGGATATATATCGAGGATCGTATATATATATCACGGAGAAGATAATAGGGGATATATATTTATCACGAATAAGTCTGTGGTTCAAGGGCCTCGGGGTAAATTTATAGTGCGGGATTCCTTTACATGCGTGTCTACGAACCTCATTTACGCCATTGAATGCGTAAAATGCAAAAATTACTATATTGGCGAAACAAAACGACGCTTTGCGGACAGGTTTGCTGAACACCTAAGATCTATTCGCATCAATTTGCAACATGTTCTGCTTGCACCTATGACAAATACGACATACGCGTATACGCTCTCCTATGACACTATTTGTCATAGAAAGATTCTTTCTATGACAAATATTGGCGAGTTAACTTCGTTCCGCGTTACAGCTGAAATTCACTGCTTGCGTTCATAATAGCGCCCTAAACTCCTATGATGCGCGCAACACATACAACAATATAATTATGTCATAGGAAGAATCTTCCTATGATAAATAGTGCATGGCATAGGAGAGCGTATACGCGTATGTCGTAATTGTCATAGATGCTACCAGAACAGGTTGCAATTTGAATGGTTTTCTGGTTGCTGACCACTTTAACCAACCGAATCACCACATTGATGACGTGCGTGTTTGTGGCTGCCAACTGACATCATATTACAACAGCTCATGCACGTCGACACGTGACTGAGTAGAAATTAATCTGAGGGTTGGTTGTTTGAAGCCGGGTAGGAATGTAAACTTCAATTACGTGTAAATCGTAGAGCCCATTGTATCACAGATTTATTTGTGATAAAATTTCAAGTATACTGCATCGTTGTGTGTGTGTGTGTGTGTGTGTGTGTGGTGTGTGTGTGGTGTGTGTTGTGTGTGTGTGTTGTGTGTGTGTGTGTTTGTGTATGTGTGGTGTGTGTGTGTGTGTGTGTGTGGTGTCGCCTGTGGTGTGTGTGTGTGTGTGTGTGTGGTGTGTGTGTGTGTGTGTTGGTGTGTTCATTCGTCATTCCGTGTTCAGGCAACGCGCGAATTGTTTTGATTCTCTTTCGATTATATCTTAACGCTATTATAAATTGTATTTTGTTTACGCGCTTATACCAATGTCTGCCTGACCTGATGAAGCAGATGTAATCTCGAAAGTTATTCATTAAATTTTAAACACCAATTATTCTTAAGTTTGATTCTGTTGTTTTATCTACATAGGGTGTTCGTGTGTGAGCTTTACTCATATATATTATATAATATATATATATATACTATATATATTTTAAGGAGAGTGAGGAGGGAGAGAGATGGGGGAGGCGGAGACTAGGTAAAGAGAACGAGAGATAAGGAGCGATGAGAGGAGATAGAGAGGAGGGGGGAGCGAAGAGGAGACAACAACACAGAAAAATTAAAGAGCGAGCGAGATCTATGGACACGTAATCAAGCCACGTACTGAGATGAAAACGCGATCACTTATTTACACATGCACGCGGTCGCGCCACGTGCTCTTGCCACGTGTATGATTGACCAACAACGCAGACACATATACAGGTGCTACAGGTGCACCCCGTGGATAAGCACTCTCGCCTGCACGATTTCCACCTGAGCGTTCACACGATCTGATTACGATACGTGTCACCTGTATGGTACACCTGTTGATAAACTATATGTGAACTATACCTGTAGATATATTGTGGCGGGCGGAACGACATAGATAGTTGCAATGGCCATCGGCTATATTGTAAACTGCAGTATTTTGTCTTGTCCGAGTATATTTTTAAAACGATTCTCGTATGTTGTAAATTGGATCACGTTTGCTTCGCCGGCTGGAAAATGAGAAAAATGGTTAAAAATTCGCTACGTCACTAGGTATATATGCAGCAATAATGCTGCATGGCATGTCATGCGTATATAGATTCTGTCATACATACATACACAGGCAATAGCACATATAATATGTGGGTAATGTACACACGATAACGATCGTTTGTAGGGTGACATTCGTCTAACAAAAGCCGGCGGACGAACCTTAGAGCTGAACGAACAAAATGTTAAACCTGGAATTTAACAGTAAATGATTGCGTGGTCAGGAATAACGACAAGTGCCAAGATGAGACCTAATGGGCATTATAAAACACTAGTGGTTGACAACTGGGTACTTCGTGTATGAATTACGCGCTGTCATTTCAGGTTTACGGGCCCGCACTTCTCCGTGTTTAGCATCGAGAGTGTCTAGAGTTACATATCGACCGTGTAAGATAAATCTGCGATAAGATGTCCCTGTCGACACCACCGATGCCACCACGGATGCCAGATGCCGGCAGGTAACACCTGTGTCGGAACCCACAGTAATCTACCTGTAGGGTTATAATCCACGTGGAGAAGCGATCGCATCAGACCAATCCCGTTACAACACGAATGTCTTTCGAGATAGGGTCTGGCAACATCACCCCTAAACGCGGTGTCACTCCCACACACACACACTTACGATAACGGTCCAGACCGGAGTACCTCCTCTCCTCTCCCTCTCATCACCGATTTCTCTCTTTCTCTCTCCTCTGCCCTCTTTCTTCTCGCCTAGGCGCTGATATTCGGGACAGTCATGAAGGTGCGTTGCCTCACGTTAGCGCTGTTGTTTGCGCTGCTATGTAGCGCAGTGCTCAGCACCGCATCGCAAGACGGGGACGCGGCAGATGACGAGAATTCCACCGATGAAGAGGCGGTGGAATCCGTAGATGACGATGCTGACCAGGGACAAGACCACGCTCGTTTCGACGCAGACGAACCGCTGCCGGGCGAAGAATACGTTCTGGAACTGAATAACGAGACGTTCCCGGCAGCGATTGAAGAACACAAATTCCTGCTGCTGGAATTCTGTAAGTACACCTACGTGAGCGTCAGGCCTCGGGATCGCTGCTTTATTATCCAACTTTTATTCGTAACTATTATAACTAACAACTAACGAATAAACCTTTGTCGTTGGAACAAACTTTTTTTCGTTTGAACGAATCTTTTTTCTTTCGAACGAACTTTTTATTGTTCGAACGAACGTTTACAATATTTTTCCACTTATGTTCCTTTAAAAACTCCGTATTAACACCATGAGCGCATATAGATATGCACAATTACAGTTGCATGTGTATGAACAAGTATATACGTGCTTCGATGTGTTTGAATTCGGCTGTTACATAGCATGTCAAATGGAAGTAAACCAACCTGCTATTGCTAGAATCATTCTGCGCAGACTCTCTATATGATTTAGCTCTTATAGATTTGTTAGTAGTCGTATGTTCAAATAAATCCAACGCCTGTCACCGTATTTTGTGAAAACAAACTGGAATAAAATTAGTTAAATGACAGTTTCGATATTTCATTGTGTTATCAACAGACGCCCCCTGGTGTGGAAAATGTCAGCAACTTCGTTCGGCGTATGGTGGCGCTGCACAGAAGTTGCACGAGATGGGCTCCGAGATCAAACTTGCGAAGATAGATGCCACGGTGATGGAGAATCTAGAGCTGAGCGCCAAGTACGAAGTCGACAGGTTCCCGACTCTTCGATTTTTCAGAGAAATGGAGCCATCTCCGATTCCGTACAAAGGTGCAAGAAATTCCGAGCGATTTCCGAGTAGTGTCGATTCCGGAAAACTCATTTTTAATTCCATTCCAATTTCAGTCATTTGATCAATTTCGATGCTTAATCGATAGATTCGGCTACGAGGTTGTCACGACCGATTACGTCCATTAATCGAGATACTTGTTTGTTTGCGTGTCGTCGGCAGGCGAACGGGACGTAGACGGTTTTGTTGCCTGGTTGACGAAGAAAACCCAACCTCCAGCTAAGAATCTCGAAACGCTGAACGATGTGAAAGAGTTCATCGCTTCTAGGGGTGGGGAGGACATTAATGTCGTCGGATTCTTTAAGGATGCCAATTCTGAAGAGGCAAAGGTATTTCTATGCCGAATCTAAGAGATTACACATCATATCGACAATATACAATAATACATTATATCATATATATATATATAATATTATATCGCAATTATATAACTCCTCATGAACCTATGTGAATACCGCTAATACGTAGCGATGGTATAGTAGAAAACATACCTTGCGTCATTTTGCAAGGCAAATCGCGTGTCTTTACAGACGTTTATACGAGTTGCCGACATCATGGATTTTTACGAGTTTGGCATTACGTCGGATGAGGAGGCATTTAAGGAGTATGGAGTGGAAGATGGACAGATCAGCGTCTTCACAACGGTGCGTGTTACACACGAATCCAGGATTCAGAGCAACCCAGCTCACGGCGGACGCGGAATAACGATTCAATCAATCAATATAATATCGACATCGATCAATATACGTAAAGATTTCAATAAACGTCTGAGCTGCCGATCCATTCGCAGCATACCAAGTCACGTGTGGTGTTTTTTTCAACCCTTTGGCAACATTCGTATGGCATAGTGCTTCCGCAGTTGTGCTGCTTTTGGTTTCTGTAACAGGCTTTGGCCAGGGCTTGCCCTTCTGTACGGGCGAGTGGTTCTTAGCCCTGTGCTGAAGCTCAGACTGGCACTAGCATCCTCTCTAACTCGTGTTTTACTTGCCAGTTTGACGAGGGAAGGGCAGACTACGATGGAGAGCTCATATCAGATGACATAGCCAAATTCGTCATGGTGCAGAGCGTGCCTAACGTAGCTGATTTCAATCCGCAGGTAACATTGATCTGCCACGATGTATTCGCGTACGCTTGCCAACGCATGTCTGTATATGTAGCTAGACGCAACAATTGCGACAACTGTAACTCCATTCTCGCTGCACACGAAAAACGTTCCGAAAATCGTTATCACTATATTGACTTATATTCTGTATGTACGCCGACGCCGTGTTGCCTTAATTCCCCGAATGTATTAAATGCATTAAGATTAAACTCGATTAAATGACGACAGATGGCCCGGAGGATTTTCGTCAAGGATTTCCCTAATCATCTACTGTTGCTAGCGTCAAAGAATTCCACCGAGTTCCCAAAACTTCATGCCATTCTCAGTGAAGTGGCGCCGAAGTACAAAGGACGAGTAAGTAACGCGGAATATAGATACGTTATATGTAAACGGAATGATATAGTAGATGTAAGGCAGAAGTAGCGAGACACCTGAAATTGGTGGGTGGGTGAAAGAATAAATAATCGAGTCTGTACGACAGAGTGGCTCTAAGCGGTGAGATGACGATACAGAGGGCAATTGGAACAGACAGAGGTAGAGTGAGTGAATGTGAGAGAGAAAGAGAGAGAGAGAGAGAAAGAAAGAAAGAGAAATAGAGAGAGAGAGAGAACGAAAGAGAGAAAGCGCGAGTGTGTGTGTGTGTGTGTGTGTGTGCGTGCGCGCGTGTGTGTGTGGGTGCGTACGTGCGTGTGTGTGCGTGCGCGCGCGCGTGTGTGTGTGTCTGTGCGTGCGTGCGTGCGTGTGTGTGTGTGTCTGTGCGTGTGTGTGTGTGTGTGTGTATCATGTAAGTGAGTGAGTGAGTAAGTAAGTGAGAGCGAATAAACGAGAGAAATAAAGAATATAGAAAGTGAGTGGGCTAGAGACAAGGGAAAGAGTGTACTCACCCGTACACATATCTTTACGCAGATTGTTTTCATACACGTCGACACGGACGTTCCGGGGCACGCCCGCATTATGGAATTCTTCGCTGTCGACCCGGCAGACGTTCCCGAATTCCGGATCACAACCTCGGGCTTGAATGCGAAGAAATATCGACCGGACTTCCCCGAAATAACTGCTGCAACCATTCAAAATTTCGTCGATGCTTTCTTCGACGATAAGCTAGAGGTAAGTGAGCTCCCTTGCTGTAGAGAGGAGAAGTGATGAAACCTACGTAGGTGTTCCCAGTGGGAGTCGATCATCAAACCGATGCTGATGCTTGATCTAGGATGTTATAGCGATTACGATGATACGGCGTAATTCTACGCGTATGTTGTGGTCATCAGTCAGGCACACACAAACACACACACACCCACATACGCGTATATATATATAAATATATAATATCTGACTAAATATATAACTATATATATATATATATATATATGTATATATACATATATATAACAGGAGTTAATAAAGACAAATTTATCTTTATTAACTCCTGATATATAAGTATATATACAAATTGTCATTATTTACCCCTGATATTATAAATAGTAAAATGTAACATTAATAATAGTAAAATATATGAACAGTGTCTTAATAAGTGTCATTTCTCTGACAAACAGCCGTTTCGTAAGAGCGAGGAACTACCGGAGGATTGGAACGAACTTCCAGTTACGGTACTTGTCGGCAAAAATTTCGACGAAGTGGCAAAGGACGAAAAAACGAACACTCTCGTGGAATTCTGTGAGTAACGTGGATTTCACCTCATTTTAATTAATTAATTTAAAACAAAAACCTGCCGGATAAACGATGCTATGCGACGCAGTCTTGTATAGTATGTTTCTGTATGATACAGCGTTACTCTGTTGTCAACATCACCTGTGTGTCAATAACCTATACACCAATTGCGAACACAGACGCCCCCTGGTGTGAACATTGCAAGTCATTGGAACCGATTTACACGGAACTCGGCGAAAAATTTAAAGGCAGGGATGACGTCATCATCGCGAAAATTGACGGAACAGCGAACGAAGTGGAGGGAATTAAGCTCGAGGGCTTTCCGACTATAAAGTATTTCCCGGCTGGAACTGATAAAGTACGTGGTAGCGGTGTTACGATGGGATTAATGTGGTAGGATTACACGACAAACACCTATATTCGTGTTAACTTCGAGTGCATTTATGAGCACGAGACATCTTTACACACATTTATTCGGATTGCAAACAAACATTATAGGCGCGTGTTCATGATAATCGTTTGTGTATCCATAGACACTTACATATATTCGCAAGCCTTCAAAATGACTTTCTACTCACTATAGGGGTACATTCGTTATCCTCAGCTATATTTTTGCAGTCATTTAGCATACATTAAGTAACTACACGGATGTTATCAGCGTTATTATACGCGCACCTACTTCACTTGTAATCAATAGTTTAATTCGCTGTAATAAGGTTATAGACTACCAGTGTGGTCGAACCGTGGAGCACTTCACGTTCTTCTTAGAAAACGATGGTGAATGTCCTCCCCGGGAAGAAACCCCCGACGACCGGGATGGGGACGAGGAAGTGGAAAAGAACGGGGAAGGGGAAGAGGTAAAACTTAAAATCAACACGCTGTCCTATTTATTAACAATTCGCATATACTTCTCACTACCAGCGTATAATCTCGTGTTCGACTCAATAAGTTAGCTATATATACATCGTGTTTATAATAGGGATTTTTAAGATATTGAGGGATAAATATATATATATCTAACTATATCTAACACCAGAATCAAGCATTTTGGGCAAATGACATGATATCCAGGTTTTTACCAGATTAATCAATTTTTCGTCAATTTTTTTTTGGCAGATTACAGTCGAGACGGACGAAACAGAAAGTGAAGGCGCAAAGGATGAATTGTAGTTCGATTTTGCCAGACTAAACGCATATAAATACTTAGTCACTACGCATTAATGCCAAGAAATAATTGGTGACCGTCCTCACCCTAAAACTGTCTTCGGACTGGGATATATATATATATATATATATATATATATATATATATACATCATATATATTTATATATCAAAATTTGCAAGAAAATCTAAAGTGTCTAAGATTGAGCAACAATACCAAAATCAAAGTCTAAAAGCGTGGCAGAAATGTAGCTTCTTTCTGCTCACGCTCGGTTAACCATATAAGCATGTCTTATTAAATCTGTAATGACTATGTCTATGTATATTAATTTAATTTATAATAGGTTTCTAATTAGTCTTCAAATAATATTACAAATATTTAAGCTACATAGATTGAATGTTCGTAAAGAAACATGTTTGCCAAAATTTATTTTTACCTGAAAATAAATTATAAAAGGTCGCGTACTTTCCACCCCTAAAAAAATTACAGGACGAACACTAATTATTAATATTGACAATGCATAACTATTTTCTCCACTAGTTAGATACATCGATGTTATGATTTGGCAAACTCGACTGCATCTTTATGCATTCGTGGCCGTGGCAACACCTACTGAGTCTTGAATCTTGTATCTTGTAAGTCATATAAAAAATATCCGTAATAAATATATTTAGTTATATAAATAGACGGAAATCTTGTTGAAGTTCGAAGCTATGTAAGAAGCTCACGCCCATGCGCGGTGAATCGTACAATGATGCTTGCTGGAAAATAGACCTGAGTCATTAACGCTGGAAATAATGATCTAGAGTCAGGCGCAGCTTAACGTATATGTGATACATGCATGTATTGGTCACAGCAATTCATATATCGCGGCGTGTCGAGACGGGCACAGTGCAATAATGGCATGGAACCGCATGAATTAATTCGATGGATAAAATTAATTAAAAAGCTAAATGAAGTAACAACGATAGACACGCAGATTTCTTTCAGGCCCACGCTTGTCGGTCGCTCGTGTACGCCGACTGACTATATGTCTGGAATAGCGGCATAGATTTATACTGGTGTGCAGGAGTTTCTATGTTTGAGCACTGTATTTGCTGTAATAGCTAGGTAATGATGTACTGCGCAACCGTACTTTCACTCCGGGTAGGAGTGCTGCGTTTCATCTGCTAATGTAGTGTATACACCCGTACGTGCATGGTATCATGTATACTGCGGAAGCGATTGCAGAAAATGTAGATGGTCGATAATGCCATAACAAACCTCCTATTTAGGTTATTTGCTAAGGTGGGTATTTTAGTACAGGTAGACCGTAAATATATATAGTGTAGAAACGGTTATAGTATATGTACGCATTGTACGCTGTAGCGGTTGGGTCTTCCGTGTATGTACCAGTTATTAAAGTATGCAATTATATAAACTGCGGTATGGACTGTAGTATGCATAGGCAAGATATATGTATATATATATAATGCGGAATTTGTCATACTATGAGTGTACTAGAAACACTCATTATACCCTATCGAATAGCGGGATTTTATTTGCCCTGTATCGGTTTTATCTTTCATGCTTGTCTCGTCATTCTATATACATAAGGACGGACGCGGTTAATTGCAGCTTCGAGCGATTAGTCACCATGCATAGCATATTCTCAGATTGCCGGAATTTCCCTTTGTTCATTCAGTTCTGTGGAAACTGTACACGCGTACAGTCTATTTATGTCATGTTAGTGATGTCAAAACTCTAATAAAAATTGTTGTACGGAATTGAAACGAGTTATAGTTCAATACGCTCCGACTGCGATCACATAAAATTATGCGACGGCGTTTTATTTCACTTAATTCAACCGAAAAATAACTCGATTGAACATAACGACCATCTGATACGTATAAGCTGTTGTTTGAGACGCACATCAAAGTTGCTAATCTGTGGACGTGCCGTTGCCAAAAAAACGCGGCTTGGTATGACGACAATCACACACACTATATATATAGCCGATTGTTTTACCCATGCTGTATATGCCAACGCGAATCACCACTTGACTAATGGCAATCCCCCCGCGAGCAGCGTCATGATGATTAAAGGAGAAGCCCACGCGCTACTGAGCGAATACAGGGGTATTTTGTTGCAGTGAACAACTTCTATGGCATGTTAATTGCCTTTTCTGCATCAGTACGGCTGTTAGTGTTGTGTCGCGTACATAAAGCGGCGAGTTCGTTGCGCCGAATACACCGCACGCGCGTGCGCGTCTCACTGCATGGTTTCTCACTCCCTCGCATCTTTCTCCGTCATCTTTCTTTTCTCTCTCACTTTCTCAGTCTACCTCTCTACCTCTCTATCTCTCTTGCATTCTGGCTTTCTCTCCTCTCGCAGTCTTCAACGCATCCATTTGTCTGCTCCGCGTTTTCTCGCTCTCGCTCATTTTCTTCTAGTTATTAGCTCGCGGTCTCGCTATATATATGAATATATATGTGTGATGCTTTATCTGCGTACGTCGTGCTTTCACTCGATCTGTACAGCCTTCATGCAGACGTGAGCGTCTCCAGCAAGTATCGAATGTGCTGTGACAGAGCACCAGCCGCAACCGTGGTCTTGTGAGCCAGACAGTATCCTGAGTACATAGGAAACACGATAGATCAGAAATAGCTCACACGGGCATTATAATAAGCACACACACACGCGCGCGCACGCACGTACGCACGCAGACACCACACACACACGCGCGCGCGCGCGCACACACACACACACACACACACACACACACACAACACACATACCCACACACACATGCGCACACCGCACGCCCTGCCGCGCCGCACGCACGCAGCAACACCGAGCAGAGAGAGAGAGAGGGAGAGACGCGTGTGGTGCACTAAGATGCGCGTGTACGACGGTACGACTAAATGGTGGCCGAGAGTGGGCTACTGGATATTTTTTATTTTTATTGGTAATTCATTTTCATTCAATTCATTTCATTTCAAGATTCATTTTCATTCCAAATCATATTGTAATTTCGAAATTCATTTTTCTTCCAAATTCATTTTTCATTTTAATTCAATTTTCTTCTAAATTCATTTTCATTCCAAATTCATTTTTATTCCATAATTCAATTTTTTCTTTCAAATTCATTTTCATTTCAAATTCATTTGCGTAGGCCGCAATGCGCG